AGTAAGCTGTAAAGTTTTATAAAAATAGTTGAATTGTGAAGAGAGTAGGTGGCGCCATCTAGCGGCGGAGGGTGGGAACTAACGAAAGTGCTGTTCCAAAAGTGTGTAGTTCACCCTGTTCGCCGGAGAGATGGCGCCACTTATTCAATTTTTAAAAAATCCAATTATTATTGATTTTGGTGGCTTAATTTGTTATAATATGCATCAAATTACATTAGAGAGCAAAACTAATTAACTTAGGATTGCATAGTTCTTAATATTCATTGCCAACACTGAAATATTCACAGGCTATACTAATCTTACAATGGTGTCATGAATTTCCATGTAAATAAATAAATAAAATATGTAACATAATATAACATAAAGCATAAATAAATATGTATTCTACTTATATCAATTCTTGCGCTTGTGTTTATACAAAAATTAACAATCTCTGACATCCACTAAGTGTCACTAAATCATTCAAAAGCAGGAAGCGAAGGCAGTACAAAATGGCGGACACCGAACGAAATGAACACTGATACGGTGTAAAGTATTCGTTCTTTATTTCGTAAAAAATATTGTATATATCAGAAACGACAGTTTCAACAGAATAAAATAGAAGTGTAGCTAAAGTATATCGTGTACGTATTTCTTCGCTTGCGGGTACAGCAAGTATCGTCGGTAAACGATATCGGTACGCAAGGAAATCGAATAAAAAGAAAGAAAAAAATGGCGTAATAATACCAATGTATTCAGTTGTATAAAACATATCTCAATTGGCTACGCTTTTTTTTCGAAACGACTCGAATACTGAGGATACGTAAAACAGATTTAGTGACTACGCGTTTTAAGCAGCTTGCACCACTTTGCTTTGCGGTCCTTTCTGCGTGGAATTGATTTTGTCTCCTAATGATAACGCCATGCCTTGACTCTTTGCTCTGATACGTATATGGCCAACAACTGGAGCGTCTGGTTTATTCAAGGGTTTTTCGATAGACATGTTTGCTAGTGCGTCCTCTCCGAATATGGATTTTGCGTACATGTTTGCTGCCATGAAACCGCATTGTCCAGAAAGGGCCTAGAATAAAAAAGAATTTCAATGGTTGTCATATACATATTAAAGTTAGGTTAGGTTGCTATGTCAGAGACTGTCACTATAAGCCATGCCTAATATCATGAATTACATATCCTGTAAAGTACCTTTTCTGGAGTAAGACAGCGCATATTTGTAGATTTCAAAAGATGAGCCAGATACTCCCTCAAATCTGACAACGTCGTATTCACGGACACCTTATTCTCCCACTCAAACTCTGCCCACATCTGTCGAAATTCTGCATCCGTACACGTAGCTGGTACTATGTAATCCATAATGTCGATATGTATATCGTTCAAGACGACCACGCTTCTGTCAGAACCGGCGCCGGATACGTCATACACTAAAAAAGCGTTGGAGTTATAAAATGATCTAACCTAAGTCCAGCGTTCTAATTACCTATGTTCCCAAATATGATCCCATTTTCCGTAGAAGCTACTTTGACGTTAGCTTTGATGCTGGCAAAGTCTCGTGGCGCTAATACGATGGGCTGTGGCCTCTCTACAAGCTTCAGATCACCCATAGTCGCAAGCTCCAGGGTACAGTTTTGTAGCGTGTCTTCGGTTTGATTAACGATTAGCACATCGAGTACGATGTCGTACTGATTAACGTGAACGAGAGCTTCCGCGTATACGGGGTCCGAGAAGCCAGTCAGCTGGGTGACTTTGCTCAGAGCACTCGGGGCCGGTGCGTCTCCGCCAGCGCCAGGTCTTCCAGCAACAGCGGCGCTGAGACTCTGCTCGAACACGTCCCCAGATCCACCGGTTAAGTCTGATCCACGGCTCAACTGTAGGAACTGAATCGCGTCGTCTACCTGGACAACGCTACCTGGCTTCTCCTTTGCCTGAGATAGAAAACGTTTCAATAAGAAAACTTATTTACCTACACGTCTCACACAGATCCTATGTTGTCACCTTCTGATTTTGTGAATCCTCCTCAGCCTTCGCTGCCAACATCCTGCCCAGAGCTTCGCGGCAACCCTCGGTGAACACCGTCTGCACAAGCGGCATGGGACAAGCCAGTGATCTCAGACACAAAGATATTCGCTCAGCGTCGTCGTGAGTCATCGCCTTCGTAGGCAGACCTGAACGACCCAGTTGCAACACGCTGGACATCACGAACATCGCTTCGGCTTGCATACGATTGCTCTTCTGCAGATCGTTCTCGAGACTCTTGTAACGGAGGGCCAGCTTGGCCAAGGTCGTAGCTAATGAAGCACCGATGAAGAAGTCGCCTTCCATCATGTACTGAACTAGCGCTGGACGCTTCTCTTCCTTTTTGTCTGTTAGATGAAGAAATATTAGAAGAAACTGTTGTTTGTTAGGTTATGAAGTTGAAAGGATAGTTACGAGCAGATGTTGCACTAAATGCACTTTGAGTAGCGTATGTGCCGTCAGAGGTGACCAGTTGCGCTGGTGAAGTTTGGGCGTTTTCATCTTCCGACGACTTCTCACCGGCCTGACGCTTATTTTCTGCTTCGAGCAGTGGCAGTTCACCTAGAGCGGCGCGTATGCGGTTCATTACGGCTTCTATGTCTTCTTTTGAGGTCGCGTATTCTCCGAGAATCCACAATGCTGCTCTGTGTACCTTCACTGACTTTATGTGTGGAAATACCTGGATGGAAAGTACAAGTCTAAGTACAAGTATCAAGAGAATGGTGAACCTTGCTTTTCAGTATTAAAATCAATTATGTGTGATAATTACTTCAAGGAGTTTCTCAACAATGAGTGGCCTGAGATTCTCGAATCGCTGAATAGCCTCGCGAACGAACACCAAGACATCAGTAGCCGCAGCCTCGTTGTTCTCTGATAGAAAATCTGTCAGTACTGGAATAACTGTTGCGGCTACGTCTGAGAATTTAATGGAGCAAGCATGTAACGTTCGCACTAAAAGCTGTCGATATCTGCCAGCATCTTCGTGTTCTCCACCGGCAGTCCTAAGCACTTCTTTCTTTAAGAGTTGAACCATTTCTTCGATTGTGCGTGTGGTTACCAGGTCCATCGCAAGAGCTAACGTTTTTGTTCTTACTTCCAATGCCGGTGAACCTGGAGCGAAAATAAAAATCAAATGATTGCTTGAATCGATATATTTACTTCTCTACGTACCTAATACTCTAAGTACATCCATAACCAGATCTTGAAGCACTCTTTCATAAACAGGACTGTCTTTCATTGCAATCAAACGGTCGAGGACGATCAGTTTAACATTATTGTCACTTTCTTTAACAACCAATTCTATGTAACATGAGGCTGCAGCTTTAATTGCTGTGGGGGCACTTGAAAGTGTCACCAAAGTGCCAGCTGCTTCGTAGCGAACAGCAGCACTCGAGGAATTCAACAAGCTGTAAATGCATCTGATAAATCTAGCTCTTTCTGAAGGATTTGCAAGACAAACCTGCAAGAAAATACACTTGTAAGATGTACATCAAAGGATGATAAAGCGATAAACTTCAAGATGTACATACTTTGTAAATTAATTCAACAATAACCAGTTGCAGTATATCACCAAAACTGGGTACTTGATCCAAACAAGCAGCTAAGTAAGCGAGTGCTCTACTCTGGTCAGCATGAAGCAACATCAAAAATGCATTTCTTCTACAAGACATATCTTGTTCCCCTTCTAAGTATTTTGCTATTAACTCCGGAGCATCTGGTATGAGAAATTGAAAGTTTCTGTAAATTGTAAAAATAGCTAGGACTGCGTTACGTCTCACGTAAGAATGTCTATGTTCCAAGCATGCAATTATTGCAGGCATCAGTGGTTCTAAAAGCTCCGGCTCCTTCAATTTGCACAGAAATCTGAAACACATAAATGTATTCTTAAAGTTGTCTATGAAATTGATTATTAAATCCAAGAATCGATGATACCTCAACGTAGAACCTCTGACAAATTCATTCGGGTGTTGCAAATCTTTCCTGTACGCGTCGCATACTAAAATCATCTCCTGAAGCAGTTTACCATCGGGAGAAGTTTTTGGTACAATCTCCCAGAATATCAATAGAAGCTTTTTAATCATGTGATCCTGCAGCGGAAGAACATATCTGATGATGGTCATCAGAAGACCCGGCAGGCGTTCCCCGCTCAATATCATATGAATAGTTTTCTCAAGGGCTTCAATTTTTGTTTTGACATCTCCTTTCTCCAAATCATGTTTCAATTGCAGCTCGTTCAACGGCTCCGTATCAGTTGGAATGTTTATCAACGTATAACAAGGTTGTTCTGCGACGGTACTCATCTTTCCTGTCGTTTCACAATCTTCCCAGGAGAACTTGTCTTACAATCTGCAAACTAGAAACGATCAATTTCAGATCAAATGATCATAATAAAAGACTTGTTCGAGAAAGTGAGGTTATGTCGCGTTCACTGGACGTCTAACGTGTCACATTGGACGCGATGCCACGAAAATGTTGATGACGTTTGACGCACTCGGTTACGAAAGATACGTGAAAAAACGAAGGACGACGATATCGTTTAATTGGTAAACTGACATTTATGTGACTCCAGGAACAAGAAAAACAGCATACGTGTCAAAACCCCTGTGTTAGGGGACCACTGAGGAGCAGATAGCGCCACGGTCTACGCCTTCCACGTATGTAGACATCTTTGAATACTCCCATTGTCTGAAAACATTGTTTAAACAATATTAATTGAAATATACTGGTTCTTTTTGTACACTATGTAAATTAAATTTTAAGTCGATGGTTTTAATAGATATTGCATTTTATTTCGAAAACTGTGCTTGGATAATTGAAACGTTACAATCTTCGTTCGTTAAATAATTATTTGGGGGTTAGTATTTTTGGGGGTTGTTAAGGTTTACTGTTTTGCATTAATATGATGTTTAATAGTACAATTTTAAAGACACGTAGAACACGATTTTTGGTAAAAATGTATTGACGTTAATGAAAGGAAATTTTATTGAAATTTATTAATTGTTTTAATGTATTATACTTTGAAAATTAATTTGCGTAATTTAAGTACCCCAATTTTATTTCGACGACAATTTTATTTGACTCGAAAAAGAAGTAAATTTAAAAACTCGTAATCGTAACCCTATTAATTTATGCTTGATAAGTGATCATCATTTAAACGGACTACTGACCTAGAAACTAAACCGAGCTAAATTAGATCGCGAATGTGCTCGAACGAAAATAACACTAATTACTCGAGCAACGTTTATCACAACAAAAAGATGAACACGATTATATTTAAATATAGAAACGATATTATAATAAGTGCTAGATCAGCAATGAAAATACCCGAGGAAATCGCACGTGTCAGCATAATTGCGTTATCAGTTATTTCAAATATTTCAAAGCAATTACGTTGCATCTCGAGCGTGCACGAGGATTTCTTTTTCATTGACGCGCAGAATACTCTTTTGATAACCTTTCGATCTCCTTTATTTTTTCCTGTATCAAGCCATCTGATTTCTAACGATTGGTAATTACGTTCAATTTATTATGATTGAGAAATTCGAGATTTATGGGACGATGAGTTATTTTGGGGATTTTAGGATTTTTTGGGATTAGAAGTTTGGAACACGTCAATTTTTGATGTACAATACTTTGGTACTTTGACTGAAAGTTTTTTAAATTTTAAAACATTTAAAAATGTAAAAAAAAATCTGATCTAGAAGCTTCAAGAATTTGAGACATTTAGTGATGCAAAAATTAAAAACCTTAGAAGCCTGAATTTATAAATTTGAGACATTGAGAGCCCCAAAAACTTGAAAATCCAAAACAGCAGAAAAGAAAGTTGAACGACCGTAAAGCTTGCTTTCTAAAAGAGTGGAATCAGTGTCGGGTGCATTCGCAAGAAAGTCTGATTACAATAATCGAGAGGATAATCAGCCGGCTGATACAAAGGCAGCCGACAAACGGTAGGAGTCGCGAAACTCTTTGGGTCAATAACGGCGATTATCTCGAAAGAAATTATCCATTAACTCGTGGAATCTATGTGCATACTTGGAACTGGTCGTGGATGGACAAAGATGGAGGGAGAATAAGTAGTTGAACGCGTGTCTGACCCCCTTTGTGTCGTAGACCGATGCGACAGTCGGTGCAATGGGAGTTAATCGAAAAAAGTAGGCAAGAGGCAGAGGGGAAACAGTCGAAGATTGGCTCCGGCGTCGCGTCGAGACGCTTGCAATTAGCTGGTGCACGAGGGCACAATGATCTAGTCGCTAATTTTGTCTGACGCCAGTGAGGCGCTTCAACGAGTTGGATTCTTTCAAAATGACAAGGTGCTTTGGGATACTTGATGCTTAGAAACATTTTACTTATTCGGCTCTTACGTATTTTTCTATATAGAACTGGAAGATTAAGATGGCGGTCATTTAACTGGCTGTCATGTATATATGATAATTTTGGTGCAAGTGTGCACTCTTGTAAAATAAAGATTTATTACTGATTAAATTAAATTAAATTACTGATTAAACACTTTATGAGTAGAACTTCTTATGATATGGATGCTGGGTAATTAAAATGGCGGTCACTTAACAGGTTAACTGAGGTGGAGATATGTTAATTCTGGTGCAATTGTGCACTCTTGTAAAATAAAGATTTATTACTGATTAAATTAAATACTTCGTTATTACTGATTAAACACTTCATAGTAGGACTTTCTATGAACTGGATGCTGGGTAATTAAGATGGCGGTCATTTAACGGGTTGTGCTATACACATGTTAATTCTAGTACAATTGTGCACTCTTATACAATCAAAATTTATTACTGATTAAATACGTAACACTTCATAAGTAGAACTTTCTATGAACTGGATGCTGGGTAATTAAGATGGCGGTCATTTAACGGGTTAACTGTGATAGTTAATTATATTAATTCTGCGGTGTTAATACAAGTTAATTCTAATGCAACTGCGTACTCTTGTCAAATAAAAATTGACAAATGACTAAATACTCAACGCTTCATAAGGAGAACTTTCTATGAACTATATGGATGTTGGGACCATTAAAATGGCGGTCACTTAACAGGTTAACCACAACGAATATGTATACACGTTAATGCAAAAGATAATTCTGGTGCAATCGTGTACTTTCTATAAAATAAAAGATTTGCTATTGACTAAATACTCAACACTGTAATCTGAACTATTTATGACCTATACTGATGTTGGAACATTAAAATGGCGGTCATTTAACAGGCTGACTGCAGCAAATTCGTTAATACGAAGACTATGTTGTTTCGTTTATGTATTCTTGTAAAATAAAAAAATTAGTGCAGAGTGAATATTCAATACTTCATGAATAGAACTTTCTACGAACTACATCAATGTTAAGGATATTAAAATGGCGGTCACTTAATAAGTTAACTGTATTAAACACGTTAATATGAAAGACTCTATTGTTACGTTTGTGTATTCTTGTAAAATAAAAAATTAGTACAGAGTGAATATTCAATACTTCGTGAACAGAACTTTCTACGAACTACATCAATGTTGAGGATATTAAAATGGCGGTCACTTAACAAGCTGACTGCAGTAAACACTTCAGTACGAAAGACTATATTGTTCCAATTGTATATTCTAGTGAAATAAAAAGTTACCTCTGAGTAAATACTCGATATTTCCTAAACAAAATTTTCAATGAACTACATCAATGAAAATGACATTAAAATGGCGGTCACTTAACTAGCGGTATACACGTTAATCAGAATCAAGCTTCTCGTAAAATAAAAAAGACATTAATTACAAAAACTTGAAATTTCAGTAAGCTAAAATAAAACTCAGACGAAGTTTTTAAAAATATTTTACGAAAAACATTGTATTTCCTAACAAATTGATAACTTTACAAAATTGATTATCAAATTCTGAGAAAACAAAACAAAACTGTATAAAAAACTACTTTTCTCATAAAAGTTCACCACCAAATTCTGTAACAATTTCTGTAAATTACCTCCATAACGGTCCACATTCTCCAAAGTCCAAGCTCAGTCTACCTCCCCATTTTCTCGTCACCGAAAGCTGCACCCGATTCCCGGTAATCCGATATCGTATGTCGTCACAGGTAAGACGTAATAATTACCCATCGAGCGTTGCATTCTCACGATATTATCAAACACGCTCTGAAATGCGGCAGTCAGGTAAACAATCGCGATTGCTTCATCGTCGCGGGGACACGTTCGAGCGGATAAGATGGTTGTTAAAAGTGCGAAGGACTCTCGCAGACGACTCGAGTAGAGCAAGGACCATCGTGAATCGACGATCTCGCGGTGTTCGCGTTGATAAACAAGTAAATAGTGTGTCAGCGAGTTTTCTTCGTTAACTTGTGCAACGATGCAACGTGTTCAGCGAGCGGTCCGCGCCGCGTTCCTCGCCGCGACGCTGATCGCGTTCGTCCGCGTTTCCGCAGCGGACTCCAGATTATCCTTGCAGTGCAAGAACATCGCCAGGGACGTGATTATTAACAGTTGCAAGGGGCCCAGGATCAAGCGGGCGGCGCCACGATTGGATTTGGAGGTGGAGGATAAGAAGTTTGGGATCACAGGTGAGCATGTTTGTTTTAAAGTTGAGGATATTAAGGAAATGCATTTTGAGGAGATTATTATTGGGAGATAGGGTTATTGTATTGATGGGAGTGGAGAGGATTAATGGGAATAGGTTAGGGAATTTAGGTTGGGGAATTTGGGTTAAAATTTGTGGAAGTGTTAGGGTAAGTTTTGGGAGGAATATGGAGACGGGGAGTTACAATTAGTGGTCGGCCATTTTGGTATGCAAGGACGCAAGGACGTAAGGGACGTTAGAGTGTTCAGAGGTTAGGTTAGGTTTTCATATGTAGAGAATTTGGGGATTTGAGAGAGTTGGCATTTGCGAATTTGGGAATTTTAGGTTTTGGGGTTTTGAGGAGAGGAAAATTTGGAATTTTGGGATTTGGGAGAGTAGGCATTTGAGAATGTGGAAATTTGGAATTTTGGAACTTTGAGAATTTGAGGATTTGAGAGAGTTGGCATTTGCGAATTTGGGAATTTTAGGTTTTGGGGTTTTGAGGAGAGGGAAATTAGGAATTTTGGGATTTGGAAGAGTGGACACTTGAGAATGTGGAAATTTAGAATTTTGGAATTTTGAGAATTTGAGGATTTGAGAGAGTTGGCATTTGCGAATTTGGGAATTTTAGGTTTTGGGGTTTTGAGGAGAAGGAAATTAGGAATTTTGGATTTGGAAGAGTGGACACTTGAGAATGTGGAAATTAAGAATTTTGGGACTTTGAGAGTTCGGGGATTTGGGAGAGTGGCATTTGCGAATTTGGGAATTTTGAATTTTGGGCTATTGAGTATAACTATGTCTAACATTTCAAGCTTCAAGATTAGTTAGTTCTAACTAATGCAAATGTCAAAAAAATCATAAGTCAGGTGTTTAATATCTGTAAGTATATTACTCTACATGTAGGTATACTATACTTGCATACATTACAGTATACCCACTTAAACTGCATATTCACACAACATATTGTATAACATATTGCACAACATATATATATACTACAGTACAATAATGGTCCACTTTCAAGTGCATATATCATTGCACACACCACAACATCCACTTACCACAACAGAATAATAAAACCTCAGAAAATGAATTCATGTCACACTAACAGCACTAGTAATAAAAAAAAGAGGTATCGTATGCAAGGAATTTGCAAGGAGCGCTACTTTTTCTCATAAGATATTAGCAAATACTAGTTAATCGAAGGTTAGTGAATGTAGAATTGATTTGCCTTTCAGAAGCGCCTGACATGGCGGCCGGAGTGCAACAGAAACGCCAATATTTCCCTATGAGGGAGCCCATTCCCTCTGGTATCAGAGTGCCACCTCCCGGATTGTTCCCTGGTATTGGACTTCCGTCGGCGAACGTGGAACAGAACTCTTTCCACAAGACGGAATTGAATATTCCTGGACTCGGATACGTGGAGGATGAGGGCAGTGTCGCGATGGAAGAGAGTTACGTTCCGGAATTTCCCAACCCCTATCGACCTGCGGGATACTTTCCCGCGATTAGGTCCATTGTGAGTAAAACGACACCTGATCGCGATTGAATTCAGGTACTTCACTTGAGTTTGGATAAATTCAATGATTTTGTTCTTTTTTGGGTTATTGGGATTTTTGGGGTGAATTGGGGAGGTTAGGGATTTAAGGAATTTTGGGAATTTTGCAAATTTTAAGGGTTTTGTAGATTTTTTGGGGAACTTATTTTAAGGGATTGTTTAAGTTTGGGATTTTAGGAGAATCGGGGTTTTGGAATTTAGGGAAGGTTAGGTTAGGTTAGGTTAGCTTCGGGTAATGCGTAGCTATCCAACGCGTAGTAATCCAACGTGTAGTAACCCAGCGTGTGAATATCCAACGCGTAGTAATCCAGCGCGTGGATATTCAACGTGTAGTAATACAACGCATGGTAATTCTACGCGTAGGAATCTAACGCGTGGAAATCTAACGTGTAGTTAACCAACGCGTAGTAATGCAA